ACACCTTTGTGGATCTATTTCTGGGTTCTTCATTCTGTTCTGTGTTCTGCTTGGCTGTTCCATGGTCATACCACACAATCTTGATTACTGTAAGTCTTAAAGTTAAGGAGTATCAGTCCTCCAACTTTGCTCTTCTCTTTCAGTATTGATCTGGCTATCTGGGTTTTTCATCTTTCCACATAAACATTAGAGTCAGCTAGCTAGTCTATATACAAAAAACTATTTTCTGGGATTTTGACTGGCATTGCCCTGAATGCATAGATCAAGTTGGTTCCTTTCATCCTCCTGCTGCCAGAAGCACAAGGGAATTTTTCTCAGATATTTATAGTGAGAACTTGCTACAGCTCCTGGAGTAAAACTCACAAAAATGTGGAGCATCTCCTATGACTGGGTCTTCCTGGAGTTTTTAACTATCAGAGTTGTCCACACTGAACCTCTAGCAGTTTATCAATTACAGTTCAGGGATTCTTAGCTCATTACTGGTTCCTGCAGAGGTTTCTGCTCATGGGTTTCTGTTCCAGTAAGTTGTAATTCTTTGTATCTTCCTGTCTCTCCAATATTGGGGGCAGCACTTTGCGCTGTGGTCTCACTCATCTGATAAACAAAGAAAAGCTGTTCATTTTTCAGTTTGTTCAGCTTTTTATTTGTTGTTAGAGGCTAGTGACAACTAGATTTCTATGTGCTAGACTGGAAACCAAAAGCCTCTATGTACTAGAGTCAAAACTTCTCTGAGAAACTATCATGCTAGATTTTTTTTAAATGTTTATGTCATTGTATTTATTTAAACTTTTCCTTTATGCGTTTCACTGAAAATAGGCTTTGAATTGCCTTCTGCATTTCAGGATTACTTATTTTTATTATCATCTCATTCTTTTATGACTTTATTTCTTCATATCTTAATGCATCTGGAGTGTGTTGTGTCAAATAGAATGAAGAGATCTAACCTCATCTTCAAATTGCCTGTTATCTAATGCTATCTCTTAAATAGTCCAATATTCCCCAGTTTTGAAATTTGCCTTTATAGTAAATTAAATAATATTTTTCTGTTTTATTTCTATTTTATTCTACTGATCCGCTACATACTCCATAGTCACATAGAACTTTCTAACTTATTTTGATTTTAAAATATGTATCTATATTTGGCTGTGCAAGACCCATCCCTCAACTACTAGTTAATCTTCATTTTTAAAGTTTGGTTGATTTTACAAGCTTAATTTTCCTAATAAATTGGAATATTTTTAATAATTCTTCAGATTAATTCCATGAGTTATGGCTATTTTGAAGCCAAATCAACTATTGTGTCAAATTAGGGATGTTTTTAGTTGCAAACAACTAAAAATTCAAGTCATGCTGGTTTAAGATAATAATTGGACTAAAGGCCCTTAAAACTCCAGCAGTGAGGTGGACTTCCTATGCCATTGAAATAAGGCACCAGCTCAGTTTCTCCAGGACTCCCTGTCTCTGCTCTGGCTTCAAGGGCTATCTTCCTTTGGTCACCAGATGACTGCCAGCAGCAACCTCAGCCATGCAGAAGAAAAGATACTGCTTCTCACAAGCACCTAACAAAAGTCCTGACCTCTGCTCAGGATAGCCTATGCTAACCCTACTCATTCTTCAAAGTTCACAGTGAATTTTTCTTCTTCCATCAACCCTCCTCAGTTATTTTATCCTCAATATTTCTTTCCTCTGCAGAAATATTAGCATGTGCATTAGTCTGTTCTGATGCTGCTAATAAAGACATACCCAAGACTGGGTAATTTATAAAAGAAAGAGGTTTAATTGACTCATAGTTCCACATGGCTGGGGAGGCCTCACGCTCATGGCAGAAGGCAAAGGAGAAGCAAAGTCACATCTTACATGGTTGCAAGCAAGAAAGCTTGTGCAGGGGAACTCCCATTTATAAAACCATCAGATCTCAAGACTTAATAACTACCAGGAGGACAATAGAGAAATTGCCCCCATGATTCACTTTTCTCCACCTGTCCCCAGCCTTGATACGTGGGGATTATTACAATTCAAGGTGAGATTTGGGTGGGGACACAGCCAAACCATATCAGCATGTGATGTACATTCATCTAATCCTCTTCTGAGGATTAGACATCCCTGAGCTAGTCACTGTGACCTGGGGAAATAAGGTTGCACTGACTGGTACATACTCCCAATCACTGCCTATCTTTGGATCTGGAGATGGAATCATTTCAACCAAACCAGCGAGCTACTACAAAACAGGAAGAATTAGCATAAATACTGGGACTAACCATTATGTCCACTGCCTTTAACCCAATGAAAACCTTTCATAATTAAAAATACCCCCTGGATATTTCAACTTTCTTACAGCACAGCAATGTACAACTATCTATACACATACTCCCACATACATGAACACAACCTTTGTGAACCCAATAATTAGAACAAAGAGGGCAAAAGGCCATATCAAAGTAGTAGAGATACTGGTAAACTAGAAGTACAAATAATATTATGATTGAACCTATAATTTGTTGTCCTAGGTAAATCAGTATCTTTTATGCCTTACTGCTCACAAGCCATGGACTACTGAGAGTCACGACCTCTGTATTTATTCAAAATAGCTCTTTTACTCTTTCTTATCAAAGACCCGACTCCTGAAACTTCAGTTTTTATTGATGCTTCATGATTTTCTGCCAGCATATTTATAAAATATTTTCTTTAGTTGACGTTTGCATGTTATTTTTATTTGGTCAGGGTAAATGTATACATGTTTCTTTCCCCAAATATTTCTAGCTTTCTCAGAGGCAAAGCCATATACTAAACTAATCTGTCTGTTGAACCCCTACTAGGGAGCTTGCAATGACTACTGTATATTAAGGTTTATTCAATAAATATTCATCAAGTAAAACACATCATCAACTGTATAAAATGTATTTTGGATAATTATAGGTGGCAACCAGACTATTAAACTATAATTTATGAACTTTACCTTCCTCCAAAGTAGATTCCTATTGTTCACATAACATGCCTTGCCTTCATTGTTTTTCCTTTCAAATTCAACTCACTTGAACAATCCTTTATTTAGAAGATGCTAAGGATACAAATATAACTACCAAATTACTTTGTCCTCAAGGGGTTTACAGTCTAGTCATTCATCTCCCTTCTTAGAATGCCCTCCCTACCCACTTCTGCCTATGCTGAGCATACCCCTTCTTCCAAGTCCCTAGTGAATTTTACTTCCTCCATCAAGCCTTCCTAAGCTATTTTATCCTCAATATTTCTTCCTTCTGCAGAATTGTTAGCATGTGATGTATATTCATCTAATCCTCCACTTAGTCTTCAGTAATTTCAATGTAGCTGTGAATCCCAACTGTTTCTGAGTCACACAGGGTTGCATTATGAAAGAGCAGCAATTGAGATTAGATTTAAAAGAAAGAAGAAAATGGGCTGTGAAGAATAGGTCTTACTGGAAGGAAGCCATTTCAGACTTCCTTGCCATTTGCTAAGGCAAACTCCTCCCTATCGAGGAGTTGCTAACCTAGAAACACCATGATTTCAGTCAGCTTTCTCAGGGGGACAAGATATCATTTGGGAGAGGAGGTCCTGGGCCAGCCAACTTGCTTTAAATGAATAGGATCAGATTCACCTTCTTCACAGCTGCAGTTAATCAGCCTGATTATAATGCCCTCTCCACTATCAAACAAACAAATCCTCTTCCTCTTTCTTGATGAGTTCTAAAATCTCCTTAACAAGATTGGGATGGGGAGTGTAGGGAGAATGTTCATTTAACAATTGGAGACTTAACTGTAGTGCATCAGAACTTCACTATGACTGAGTTCCAGTTAACACGTAATTAATCTATCATCAAGTGTAAATTACATATTATTAATTTATTTCTCAGCTTTATTGCAAGATAGGAGGGAGAAAGGAGAGAGATGGTGAAGGAAAGGCTCTCAGGAGACAAAAAGGTGTGTGATGGGGAGAAGCTAACCTCAGGAAAGGGCTCCAACTTCACCTAGGATTGGCTCTATTCACTGACAAGTGTGCTGAGACAAATAGAAGCTACAACTGAAGAGTCTGGATCAGGAAGGTACCAAAGCAATAACTCTACTTGGTATAATTTAAGGCTTTTTCCCCCTGGTATTTATTTCTTACCAGTAGTAGTTTCATACAGAGGAGCTGCAGTTAACAGGCAATTCATAAGAAATATAAACATTTGTCATATTCATTTTCTTCCATTCTAAAGTTATAAACATTTTATTTTAATTTACTATAAATGTGTCCCTTCAGTAGTTTTCTTTTAAAATATGCATTGTTTGGGGAAAATATTGAGGTCAATATCATAGCACACAAAGCTGTTTCTCTACAAAACGTCCCCTAGAAACTTTATCTACACTATAAGGTAGATCGTTAATCTAGTTCAGAGTGGTGTATCTGGATTTGTCTTCTAAGTGAATTTTAATATACAAGACACTAGAGAAGATGACCACTGCTAAACTGAATTTTATATTTGCCATGCAGACGTGGATAATCATTCTTGCGAGAAAACTAAAAATGTATTTCCTAAAAATGAAATTTAACACATAGAAGAAAGTATTTTAAAATTTAGAAAACATACTCTGTGTTTATCATAGGATAAAATTACAGTCAATTACAAGTAACATAATTCTATGGGTACATTTTCCATTGAATCAGTTACTGCAGAGTAGCTTAATATCTTGAAATGAAAATTGTGGTTACTGAAAATTCATATTTGAAAACTGTTTCTTACCTGTGTAGTGAAGAGCTCAGTAAGAGAGATATTTTCATCATGTTTTAACCTTATAATAATTGTAAGAGCTATTATGTCAAGAATTTTTTTTTTGAAAAACTAAAACCCTCTCCATTTAGCAAGTAGTCAATCTAAACATTTATTGATTGTATTCCAATTACAGAGTAATTATACGGTAAGTCAGAAGTATAGTGACCCCAAACGAAAATAAAAATTTAGTGTCAAAAGTCTACACAGGACTCAATTAGTTTTATCTTATCACCTGTATATGTCTTCCAATTGCAAATCAAAGTGTTGGAGCTTCTTTTGATATTTCTGTGTAAACTTACAGAACTCACTAAGGATTGCTGATTTCAAATCAGGGTATGGGCATTCCAAGCTTTCTAATTCAATGGGCAGTTCAGTAAGCCGGTTAGACTTTTCTTCCAAAGAATGATGTAGTATCTGAAAAAAGGTATACGATTATTTATTTAACATAAATAACAAATTGATAAACACAAATTACTAGCCACATCACACTTGCCTTTATAGTCCAGTCTGAAAGATCATTTTCTATTCTCTGTTGCTCCAGGCTAAGTCTTTCAAAGGCAGCTTTCAATTGTTTCTTCACAAAGTCAACCTATAGGACATTTGGAACAAGTAGCATGCAAATGATTGCAATTCATTCAATTCTTATAAAGACACAAGAATTATTCTCAAAAGCCAATCAGTGATTAAGTTTAAAGACCTGTGGAAGAGAGTTAAAGAGATGCCAGCCAGGTAGGCAGTGCTCATCAGACAAATGAGCTGCAAGGAGGTTTCCAGACATCCCAAAAATAAGCTCAGAAAGTACAGCGCAGTCACAGCCACTCTGCAGCCACATTTTTATTTTCTCTGTGGTAATGCAGAGAACTTACTAGATGTCTCTGCTCCAATCACCCCTTCCTTCTCTTGTACCCTTGCCTCTAATCGCCATCTGGGCATACATTTCTATTTTTTTATTATTTATAAAAGCAATATAACAACATTACAGAGTAACTGAAAAATAGAAAAATTTAACACCACCTAAATTTTTATCAAACCTTGCACATCTATACTAAAGAAGCTTATGCTCAATTGAGGGGAAGCAGTTGACAAACTAATAAAAATATGTGGGAAAGGGTCAGGAGCAGAAAGACAATGTCAAAACAGGGTGGTGTGATAGGGAGTGACTGTGGCTTCTAAGCACAGGCCTCTCAGAGAAGAGGACATTTAAGCCAAGATCTAAATGGCAAAAAGTGACATCAATGGGACAGAGGAAATGGCCAGTACAGGAATGGGCCTGGCATGTGGGAGAAACAGAAAGAAGGCCAGCCTGGGTGGTAACTGAGCTTTTATGGGAAAGGGAGATTGTCAGTTAGGAGATGTGATTGAAGAAGCAAAACACGGGCTAGGTGGATAGAAGGACCTATGTACTCGCAGGAGCCCCTGGGAAATTTCAGCAGCAGGATGACTTAATCCCCTTGCACTGGGGTAGGATCCCAGGATGCAATGGGAGGAGAGGCAAGAATGAAAGTCAGGAAGCCAGTTATGAGGCCACTGGAACATTCCAGGCAAGAAATGAGGGTGCCTGGACAGAGTTCAGGCATGTGTTTAAAATATTTAATGGACACAATTAGCTGACCTATTTAAATATTAATTACATATTAATATGAGTTAATACACAAATCACACATGTTTGTTTGTTATCTCAAACTCTTCTAGTTGGGACAAAAATGAAATATTACATTATCAAAAATAAAGGTAACATACTAACCTCTTCCAATACTTTCATGGAGTTAAACTCAATATATGAGTGTGAATGCTGCAAAGTGTGATGCTGTCTGTATTTTAGATCTGCTCTCAGCTGCTGAATAGGATTTATCACATTTTTAAGATATGTGTGCCATTGTTCTGATAGCTCTTGCTCTATGGTGAAACAAAATTGAATCAGAGGAACACATTATTATTATTTTAAGTATCTCCAAGAACAGATCCTTAGAGTGCAGACTTATTTGGGGACTCCTTTAGAAAAAAACAAATGGCAGTTAATATTAAAAGAACATGAAGTGAGGGGCCCATTCTCGTTCTTCAAAATAAGACTCCCCTTTAAATACGGGATCAAAAAAATCTTACCAAAATGTGTAAGGTCACAAAGACATTCGTTTCCAATGTTCTCTTCATTGAGAAGGGATTTTATTTCAGATTCCATTTTACATCTGAAAGAGATGTGAGCTCAATAAGTGTTATGATCATAAACATACATCTAGGTTTAAAAAAAAAACCAAAAAGATATTTAATCTAATGTGGCTTTGTAATCTGTTCATTTATTAAAACCATGTACTAAATTCTTAACATGGCTTGGGTCCTTGCTAGACACTGAGTTAGATGCATAGGCTCAGGCAGAAGAAACAGAGGGAGCAAAGGCCAGCTCACAGCAGGTGCTGGCAGTGCATGTGGAGAATGCATTGGGAAGCACTGAAGGACAGCAAGCTGACCTCACCTCCTCAGATCCGGGTTTCAGAAATATTCCCAATGTGGCAAAATGAGGAGAAGGAGATATGAGCAATAGAGATGGAAGATGAAGGAGAAGGGGTCAGACAACCTGGAACAATAAGGAGGTAATTTTAAAAGTTCAGAAATGATGAGACCCTGAATTACAGAGATGGAAGTAAAATTATATTTTATTTTTAATACATTAATTAGAGCAACAAATCTTCATGAGCTTATATATATGTACACATTTTTTTGTTTGTACATATGTATTTTTTTTTATGGAGTCTCGCTTGGTCGCTCAGGCTGGAGTGCAGTGGCACAATCTCGGTTCACTGCAACCTTTGTCTCTGGTGTTCAAGTGATTCTCATCCCTAAGCCTCCTGAGTAGGTGGAACTACAGGCATGCGCCACTACACCTAGTGTGCGTGTGTGTATGTGTGTGTATTTTTAGTAGAGAGTTTCACTACATTGGCCAGGCTGGTCTTGAACTCCTGACATCAGGTGACCCACCCACCTCGACCTCCCAAAGGGTTGGGATTACAGGCATGAGCCACCATACCTGGCCTATATATTTTAAAAATATAGTCAATTTTTAGAGTAAAACCATAACTAACTCTAAATGGGCATCCAAAAATATTATAATCTCCCCTTGCTTATGGCAGATCTGATTAAATCATGGAAAAAAGTTGTATCACGATTATTACAGTATTAAAATGGTATAAAATAAAAAAGCAACAATTATAACTTTAATACAATTATTATTTTTATTTTTCCAGATAAGTTTCTAGCCCTCATGTACATGTATGTATATTGTACATGGCCATAACCATGACATATTTAACGTTTTATATTGTGGGATTTTTTTTTGCCTAACACTAATTTTTTTAGATGTTTCTAAATAGTTTTCATAATTATCATTGTAATGACTCCACAGTATTCCATTTTATGTATACATCATCATTTTCTAAGCCAATTTACATGGGACAGGTTTTGGTTTTTGTTTAAATGTATAAAGGAAGGGTGATATTGTAAATGAAACCTCACTGTCTATTTTTCCAGCAGGTAGTTTCTGCCAGAAATATTTTTAAGATCACATTTGCAACTGTTACATGGAGGATGAGTGCATAATCGTTGAGTCAAACCAGAAGTTATTCCAGAACAGATTTGTTTAACCAAAAACATAGCACTTAAAAACCATCTAGCTCGGCACCCAGAAAGTCATAACAGAGCATACAAACTGCCAGAAAAATGAAGATATGGGTAATTTTTGATGTTCTGAGGAGACTGATAGGCACCTTCCTGGAAGGATAAGAACCTATACCAAGGTAGACACCTGAAGGCTCAAAAATGCCCTTCACCAGGGTATCTTATCTGTAGGTGGTTGCACTGAGTAGATTAACATGTCATCTGGGCAAATGAGCACATAAAAACTCGAGGGAGTCTTTGTGGTACTAGAATGAAACAAGGGAGAAAGTGCCTCTGGGAAACTGTATCAAAGATCTCAAGGGGTATAGTTTGATAAGGTATAACATATTTTAAATAAAACTGTATAGATGTAAATATTAAACATAATTTTACATTTGAAAATTTTGTATACTTTTCTTAGAACAAATTTCAAAAAATTAAAGGTTGGCAACATGTTTTCATTTTGTTTTGTTGTTGTTTTTACATATTGAGGGTCTCACGATGTTGCCCAGGCTAGTGTGCAGTGACTGTTCATAGGTGTAATCATAATGTACTGCAGCCTTGACCTCCTAGGCTCAAGCAATCCTCCTGCCTTAGCCTCCCAAGTAGCTGGGACTACAGGTATGCACCGCCACACCCTGACAAAACTTTTGTTTTTGCCAGCAAGGCTAGACAAGGTGGATCTCAGGTGATGTAAACAGAACTCTGTAGAAAAAAGGAAAAGCTACTCAACTCCAAGCCATAGAGCATAGAAGTTAGGGGAAAGTGTTCCAATCCTAGCTCTACACAAACTAGGTTATTTATCATCTACAAATAACTTTCACCATCTAAGACTCAGGATTCTCATCTGTAAAATTAGGAGAGCAATGATGACTACTTTATAGGGTCGTTGTAAGTATTGAGATAAAATGTGTAAAGGACTTAACATATTTGGTTAGTGCAAAATAATTGTGGCTTTTGCTCAACCTAAAACTACCTGGCACATATTAAATTACCTAACAAATGTTAGGGTCATCATAAGCCCTTATCCTCTGCCTGCCTAAGATTCTTAAATATAGTCTTTTACAGTAAGGCATAGAATCTTGCTTATTAAAAGGGGATGTTGATTTCTAAAGGTTGACAAACACTGATAGGACTTTAACTACTTCTAATTTGTTGGTGGCCCTAAATTCTCCATGAGGTAGTCATTTCTCTAACTTATCTCCTATTGCTGTTAGTTTTTAGTTGCACCGAACACGTATTGAAATTAGTCTTCATTCTAGAATAACACAGAAACTTATTATGGAATTCTTAATTTTGTCCAATTTTCAGCCCTTACAAATTCTTAGACACTGAGACATTAAGGTTATTATTACTTAAATGCTCCTCACTTCCATTTTCTTTATGTCATTCTAGGTTAGCCAAAAGAATTATTTTCCGTAATGATACGTATTCACCTCTTCTACCTAGCTCAAGAACAGCTTAATATACACATTTAAAAAGATGAGGAATAGCCAAGATTAAAAAACAAAACAAAAACAAACAAAAAAAACTTTTCCCAGTGTCTTCCTTTACATTTGAACTTGCATCATGGAACACCATAATTAAATCTTCCTAATGGCTTTCTTTTTTTACCATGTTTCAAGTTATGCAGATTTTCCAAAAATAAATTTTCAATGGCCTCAAACATTCTCTCCACAAAAGGTGATTTTTTTTTGTAGGATAAGATGGGTCTAATTTTATTGTTAGTATAGTATATGTATGGTGATGAAGTCCATATAACTTTTTTTTTGGTTTTAAGTTACACAATAATGTAAAACCATTTTCAATTATAAGCCTTCTATTTCACATAGAGGAGTCACCTGCCAGAATAAGAAACTCATCAACATAAAAACACCTAAAAGTAAATAGCATTTAGAAACTTTACTTAAAATAAGACCACACAAATTATCTCCTTTGATACAAAATAAATGCTTTAAAATGCACATTTTAAAAGCACACTTTTATACATATCATCAAAAAAGTATATATGCTATAAATGAAGGAGAAACATATTTGCCTTCTCTTTTCACTTTGACCTTTGCAAAAATCTATTTTTTCAAATATTACAATTAAGATCAACTATAGAATCAATATTTCATTTTAATTTATCTTTAAGTGAATGTTGGAAATAATAAGTCAAAAATCAAAATTGAGTAAGTTGGTCATGATGCAATTACATCCAGAAACCATTCATGTCTTGAACTCCGTGTTCATTAGCTCATCCATGTATTAAAGGCATTTACATCTCTCCTGTGTATTCTACTGTATAAAAATGAATATGATGAGATGTTTGCCCTTGATAGGATGTTTACCACTTTATAGGGAAGAAAAAAACATGTAAACAAAACATTATAATCCAATATACTAAGTATAATAAAGGTAAACACTAAACACAAGTATGAGTGGGAGTGTGGAAGTGACTGGCACATACAGAAGATTATCTTTTTTCTGACAGGAAGCAAAAGCCATATTAATATATTCACTGGATTTCAGATTAAGCTGAGGAAATGAAAGGATTTTAATTTGTCTCACATTCAAATTGTAACTTTAAATTTTTATTGTAATGGTTAATTAACATGGAACGTTATAGAACGTCTGAAAAGATAAGTGCTAGTCCTAGTAATTTCTACGTGTTCTTACTATTTCCCCCATTTCTTACCTGACTTCATTCAGCCTCTGGTATTCCTGCCACCACACTTGCTTGTGTTGTTTTACTAGTGTTTGTTCTTTAGATATCTTTGAAGTCAACATTGCTTTTCTGATCTAGATTTAGAGGAACAAAAGAAGAGCAAGTTCAAAGTTTTCAGAATGTGTTTTCCATAACAGAAATGTTTAATCTGGATTTTCTAAGTTAAATAGTTTCTCTTTTTAGATTCTTACCAGTGCATCTTCTAACACAAAATCTACCTAAAATAAGTTTGATTTTTAAAAGCAGGAAGGAGAAAGAAAAATGGTTTGGAATACTAACCAACTTAAGAACTGTTTTTAAAGTACTTATTAAAACAAAGGTGAAGTCATTCTATTTTCCATACATGAAATGAATAATGCCCTAATTCAAACAACCCCAGAAATTTTTTCAAGAGGTTTCATTTCTCCCCTTTTGAATTTATCTTTCCTGTCAGGCATCACATGCATCTTTATTCACATTTTTGGAGGAGAATATTGAATGTATGAGAAGTTAAAAGATGTGGTCAAGATTATAAAGCCCATAAACATCAGAGTAACAAAGAACCTCGGTGTTTAGATTGGTTTGTATCTGATCCCTTAGCATAAGATGGGAAAGAGTAGATTGGTTTGTATCTGATCCCTCAGCATAAGATGGGAAAGAGTCATTGGATAAGTTTTTAGAAGGCCTGGCTTCAATACTTACTAGAAATATGACCTGGAACACTCAATTTTAATCTTTCAACTCTATGTCTGTCTTTGTAAATAAAATTTCTTAATTTAAGCAAATATTTATTTGAAGATACTTAAAGATATATGAAAAATCAAGTAGCATTGAAATCTAAATTTTCAACTAAACTTAATTTTTCCTCAATTTTATGACTTTTAAAAAATATAGTACATAATTAATGCTTTGGGTTTCTGCTGAAAAGCCCAAATATATCAGCCCTGGATCTGTTTGCCTTAGATCCATTTCTGGCTGTTTGCCTGATCTGCTCCATCTCACAGAGCAGCGTGTTTCTCAGGCACCCCTATCAGTTGGCTTCAGCCAAAGCAAGACACTGGGATAGGAGACAAGGCAGGGAAGAAAGGAGAAGCTGAAGGATTACATCATCTTGCCTTCTCTACTCTCACAGGGTCTCCGGGAGCATTTGCATGGTATCATTGCTCCAACTTTTCTCTAGGCAGTTCCACTATGGTTCCAACTATCTCTGGGTAACCTCACCCCATGGAATGTGGCATGGCCTTGCTTCTTCTGTACGTCCCCGACCTATGGATGGCAGTGATTTCCTGTACTTGTCAATCTCTGTATTGCCTCCCAGTCCTCTGTCTTCTCAGTGCTATCACCTAAATACCCATATTCCTACATTAAAAACCACTGTACTCTAGATTCTCAAGTGATGTCTGTTCCCTGGTTAGACTCTAACTTATACTCATGCATACTCCGAACTCATGTATTCCATATTAACAATTTTAAACTACAAAAGTGTAAATCAGAAACTTGATGAAATATGCATATTTCATAATTTCTCTGCTGTTAAAGTACTTAGTACCCTAAAAGCTTTAAAAAATCAATATGGAGATATAAAGACTTCAGAAGACAAGTTCCAAAAAGGAATCTTTATAATGCATGCTATTTCCAGCTGTCATTCACTGATTACTTTAACCTTGAGTATATCTTTCTGCTGTTCTGGTTACTGATTCAAAATTGGGGGTATAAGAAAACAAATTAACCCAAAGATTACTTTTAAAAAATACGAAGTCAAAGTCAAATATTTTCTCCTAAGAAGGTCTTAAGAGTGCTACAGTTATAAAAGTACAGAGGAAAGTACATTTTTAAAAGCACAGGAAACACTCAGCTGACTCTATTTTACCTACTAAAAAAATACAAGCACACAGTATTTCTAAAATCTGACATTTTAGTGTTCACTTTAAGAATGCTTAAAACTCATTTCAGCCATTTACCATACACAGTCTCTAAAGTTTGTTGCAACAAATACAATTTTTAAAACTAGATTTCTTTGGCATATTTTATCCATGTTGTACAAAAAATTAAAATACATTGGTGAAAGATGGGGACACATTTTTATAGTTTGAAAAAAAAATCAATGCTTTCGCCTTTGGGCCCAGGGAAAGGCCAATTAAGTAGACTATAAAAGTCAAAATAAAGCTACTATTTTTCACTAGACAATTCCAATATTTTGCAGAACATACTGATTTTTTAAAAATAAATTCACTCATTGATTCCACTTATATCCTCGGGCCAAAAATGAAGAAAAATAAGGCCTTAAAAAGAACAAAAAGATTTAAAGTTCTGTTTTTACCAGCAGAGAGATGTCTAGGTGATTTCAGTTCATTTTACTGAGCAATACACCATATGAAGTCAATACTTAAGGTGGATGATAATTTGTGCAGAATGCTGATGATTTAAAAATACTCTGGCCTGTAATCCCAGCACTTTGGGAGGCCAAGGCGGGTGTATCATGAGGTCAAGAGATCGAGACCATCCTGGTCAACATGGTGAAACCCCGTCTCTACTAAAAATGCAAATAAATTAGCTGGGCATGGTGGCATGTGCCTGTAATCCCAGCTACCCAGGAGGCTGAGGCAGGAGAACTGCCTGAACCCAGGAGGCGGAGGTTGCCATGAGCCGAGATCGCGCCATTGCACTCCAGCCTGGGTAACAAGAGTGAAACTCCGTCTCAAAAAAAAAAATACTCTGGAAAAATGATAAAATAATGAATTCATAAAAGAATCAGAAACCAGTGGTTTCCTGTATATGGCTTATTGTGTTGGTCCAAGACAATAAAATCCTAATTAGATACCTTGAAATATTACAAAATCCCTTTGAACCAGAAGATCCATCTTTTGAGACAGATGTCAATAACTAGTAGACAATTAAATGGTGGTTACATGTATGTATATGTTTGTCAAATTTCACTTGGATATACCCTTAAGATTTATACATTTTACTATATGTAAGTTATAACTCAATAAAGGACTGTTAACATAAATAAAAAGAAAAAAACAACTACAGTAAGATGCAATTTCTCATATATCAGGTTGGCAGAAACACAAATGTTTAAGAAAACACTCTGTGAGGCCATAGAAAGCATGTTCTGTCTCATATTGCTAGTGGAAGTACAAAGTGATACAACTCCCATAGAAGAGAATTTGGAGATGTATCACAAGATTTCATATGCATTTATCCTGTGACCTAGCAACCTCATTTATAGAACTACATCTTAAAATTATTTTGGCAAAAGTATAAAAAGATATATGCACAAAGCTATTTACTGCAACACCATTTGTAATAGAAAAAGATTGGAGCACAAAACTACCATCAATAAGTGTTCTTGTCAAAATAAATTGAACTTGAATCTGATCAAGTCTCTAAATATAACTGCCAATTTGCTGGAAATACAAGAAACAGAAAAGCATGTTAAATGGCACCACCAGGATGTAATCTGCATAATTCAAACTATAAGACAAACAATACAATTTCTTCAAAAAATAAATTACAAAATACAAAAGGATAGAGGAGGAAATCTTAAAAAATTAAAACCAATTATAATGTACAGATCATGTATCAATGCTGATCTGAATAAAATTTAAGAAAAAAATTTTGAGATAATCAAGGAAACAACACTAAAAATTATTAAGACAACATTTTTAGACATGGTAATAGTATTGTAAGGCTTTAAAATAATCTCTACTCTTTTAGCAATACATGTTGAAATATTTTTAAGTGAAATATTATGATGTCTGTGATTTGCTTCAAAACAATCTGGCACGGGGCGGGGGGTGGTTTGTGGATAGGAGTATAGAAAACAATGGCCAAATGTTGATCACTGTTGAAGCTGAAGAATGTGACTTGGAGATTCACTATACCATTCAATCCAATTGTGCATATGTTTATAATTTTCTATACTATAATATTTTTTAAAAGATTAATAGATCTTCGAGTTGGACAAGAAGTTTCTAAGCAAAGAAATTCAAATTTTAAAATATTTGCAGAGATCTCTTTTGCAGTTAATACACTGGAAATGAACAATTACATACAATGTACCAAAATTTGTCTCAGTTTTTAGCCCAACTCCATTATTTGTCTTCAGGTTCAATCTCAGCCTTTGAAAGACTACATCACTGACTGTCCACTTCAGTCTTATATGGCTGGCATCCCAGAAACTATGCATGATCAATGACACTGTGATTTTATAGATGACCTTCACATCATAGTATCAGTAGTACAAATCAGACAGGTAGCTAAGTATTCTAGATGTAACTTGAAGCTATAATCCTCTTATGTGCTTTAAATGTTACTATTTTATCATTTTATTTGAATATGCTTATATTTAATATTGCCAGAGAAAAGTGAAATAATAATTAACGATTATTAAAACTGTTAATTACATGTGTAAAAAAAGAGTACATTTAAATACTAAAACAGGGAAATAATCTGCCAATTAACACAAATATTAAGAGAGAATGTGTTAGCTATATAACACTAAGAATAATAATATATTCTTTTTGAGCCTATATATATTTTTAATTCAAATAATATATTAAAGAATAACAGATATTATTATAATCATGATTCTAGTTAGTGTGGACTGTTTGGTATCTTAGCATTCATAACATTAAAAAAAAAACCTTTGAGTTCTATTTAATTTCCAGTTATTTAATTCCATTTAAGCCATGAGTCTTTTAAGAAAAAGTTCTATTTAGCAATTGTTCACAACTTACAAGAATAAATTAAAAGCAAAATGTCAACTTGCCGTCTCTAAATTAAATGAGAAGGGAAGACTCCAAAAACTAATGCACAACAATATTACCAATGCATCATCCTTAATCCAGATATAATAAAAAATGAAAACTGTATGAAGAAAAAAAAGCAAGTGTTAGAAAATGATGAAGTACCTAGGACACATTTTGTTCTAACTGAAATTCAAAATAACAGACATTCCAAAATGCTTTAAAAGGATAATTCCTTATCATCAGGAATCTATCTAAAAATGGAAGCAAAAGCTTGTCAAAATGATCGCTACAGACTGTGAACCATTTTCATTAGTTAAAGACAAGGATTTTTTGAGGTTTGCCAAGCTATGAATTCCAGGTACACAGTTATTTCTAGAAAAGCTTATTCCTGAATTATATTCCACTATGAACAAAAAGATTAGTGATGTTACTTAAAATGCCAGTTGAATGTGAGCATCTGTTTAACCTCACAAATATGTGAATACAAGGATCAGAGTAGCAATCTAGCAGCTGACAGTGCTGAGAAATTATTGTTCCTGTACTTAATATTAAACTATAAAAACCACAATAATAATGAAAAATATGAAATATATTGATTCTTTCATAATGAGTCTATCACCAAAGAGAAATTCACTTTGATAAAATACTGATTTTAACACTCAGCCATTCTATATTCAGTCAAAATGTCTTTTTTGGTACATCTGGGATGAATGGATGGTATTAGAAATATAAGTGTGTGTGTGTATATGAATATATATATATATGAATATATATACATTTATATATGTGTGTGTATATATATACATTTATATACACATGTGTATATACTCTAATACTGACAAGGGTGTAGAGAATACATTTGTGTGGTATCTTTATTAAAACAATACCTTGGGAAAGAAATTTGGTAACATGTCTCAAAAACACTAAAAAACGTACATTTGGTCTAGACATCCCAATCATGTGAATTTTTCCTGTGGGAGTACAGGATTCTAAAACATGAAAAGTCTCTATTCTTGAAGTAGCATAATTCCTATTATCACAAAATTGGATACATCTCAAATACCTAAAAATTGGGGTGGGATAATAATGCATGCATCTTTTTCTATTTAGAAGTATTTGTCATTCCTGTTTTATCTAGTTAATTCTTTTGTATTAGATTTTTAATTGACATATTTTAATTGTGCATACTTATAGGCACAATTTGATGTTTTAATACATATATGTTATGTACAAATATATGTCAAATTGGGGTATTTAGCACAGCCAGCATCTCAAGCATTTATCATTTCTTCATGGGGAGTATATTCAACAGCCTCTCTTCTAAATGTTTTGCAATATACAATACTTTACTGTTACTCATCCTCACCCTACTGTGCAATAGAACACCAGAACTGATTTATCCTATCTCATTGTAACTTTGTATTTTATTGGCCTTGAGATCCCTATTCGAATATCCCATCCTCAGAAAAGCCTTCCCTAACCACTCAGTGAAGACCAAGTCCTATTATACACCAGACAGCATGTTTTTTATTGCAGTTTATACTTGGGATAATTTTACTGCCAGGCTTATTTGATAAACACTGACTCCTTTCCCTCCCGCAGTAAACAGTAAACTTCATAAAGGGTAAGGACTATATTTCGCTTACTTTTGTATCTTCAGGGCAAATAGTAGGCAAATAAAAAATATTTATTGGCTTGAACAATATTTAAAGATTATGTGACAGAATGTTAAAGAGAAAAGTATACCTGACTTCATATCTATGTTTATCATAAAAAAAATATGTATTGTTTATGTTTACATATATGTGTTCAATAGATAGAAGTCAGAAATATGAAGTTTTGTTAGGATGACAGTAATATGACTTTACCACAAAATTTATTTGAATGTTCCTGTAATATTAACTTATTTTAAAGTTATATAAACCAAATAAGTAATGCCATGCTTTTAAGTGGTTGTCTTAGTTTGAGAATATATGGTAGTCTATCCAAAATAGAGTATCAAATGTGCTTTGAAATCATAACAATTGCCTTCTATAAAAAAGATATTAACAATAAAAAACAAAATGGACAAAATATGAAAAATTTAAATATAAAGAACTTATAAATTACTTAATATATTTCTTCACCTTACCTGTTTTTTAATGCAGCCAAGAAACGAAAATACTGTTTTCAATGACTCTATTATTTGCACAAGAGAGAAACATAGCATATGAGTAAGCCTAAACTACACATGGTCCTAAAATACTGTGCACAATCACTTGCACGAAATCTCCTTTCAAATATAGCCTAGGTTCACCCTGGCTTGGAACATATATTTAAACCAAAAACAGAATTCTAGAAAAGAGCACCTGAGAAAAAAGAGAGCGAGACCATCCTGGCCAACATCGTGAAATGCCGTCTCTGCTGAAAATACAAAAATATTAGCCAGGTGTGATGGCATGTGCCTGTGGTTCCAGGTACTCGGGAGGCGCAGATGGAAAAGACTCACTCTAAAATAAATTAATTAATTAATTAAAAAAAAAGAAAAGAGCACCTGAGGGCATATTTATATAGTGTTGGAGGAGCCTTAATCAGATAATAGTACATGGCTGGTAATTACTAACAATTTTTATTCTTCAGATTAAGTTGGAAGTTGTTGAAAGCTAATAAACTAACTGTGTTTCAAAAAATAAAGTTGAATTTAGACCTTGAACAGTTGTTCTGAACATTAAGTGGGTAATGCATGAATGCATGTAAACTATATAACGGTGTCTGAGGGCATTCGATAAACGTTAGTTGCTATTCACTTTTATTATTACTTGGGAGTTTCTAACAACTATTTGGAATGTCATTTATTTTCACATTTGCAATGTAAATACTTTTTAGCAATTCAATTTTCTGAAACTAGAAAAACACACACACACTCACAACTTCTAACCTTTAGCTCTGCAGAGGCAGAAGCTAATTTTTTTGCTTCAGTTAATGCACGCAATTGTTGATAGTCTACTGGTTTGTATTTGGCGCTTTTCATCTCATTTTTCATATGGAATACCAGATTATCTAGTAGTCAAAAAAACAGAAAAATGACAAAGAAAGAATATCATGTTATTGAAAGTTAAAAAATAATTACGGCAACCAGATCTATTTTTAAATATTTTTAAGCAAATACAAGAAATAATATATTACAATATGGATAACATATTTGAAGCTTCTATTTCTAGAAACTCTTAGAATATGGCCACTTTATTTCTTGTACATCATTACTTCTGAAAGGGTACAAAGGGAATGTTTTCATCTAAGTTACTACCATATATTGAAGATTTTAGAAAATTATAATGCCAAGCTACAAAGTATGACCACTGTTAACCCATTCTTTTTATTTAAAATGTGATAGACATCAACTGTGAATATTAAGTATCACATAATTATAAATCAAATTACATAAACAGATTTTTAAGTCAGATGCATTTCTAACTTAGACAAATCAAAGAAATTTAATTAAATTTGAAAGAAAGGTTAAAACTGAAAGCTAAAAGTTTAATAGGTTGAAAAATATTAAAATGATGTAAAACGTCTGAGTATTCTATATCCAAATACATACAATGTGCTAGTTTGGCATGATATGAACCATTTGGATAAACTAAAACATAAGTAAGCGGTACTCTAAGTTCAAGTAGCATAAAGTATAACAATTTGAGTAAGTCAAACAAAACATGTATGTCCACCTCAATTATATGAATAATTCATCTGTGTCATATAGAGTAATTAGAATTTATTAAATAAATCATGGATCACATGACTGTAGGAAGCTCTCCAATCATTTCAGGCCAATCACAGTGAAGGAAAGCAAGGGTATCGTGACCACCATTGAGGATTAAAACAAACCGATTGTAAGGAACTGGCCAATCATTCAATGTAACTAGCAAATGAGCTTTCCATTATTAAATTTTTGAAAAATCAACATTTCAATTGTATATCATTTCAAAAGTACATAATCCACTGTAACTAATAAAACAGAGTTGGGAGTGAGAAAAATACCTGAGCTATAATTTCTCTGAATGGTCATGAATGGTCTGTCTCTTTGATTCATGTTTTCTGTATCTGTTAAGGAAACAAAAGATAAATAAAATTTCATATTATTTTATAAATGTTTTTAAAGCTGTGTTACTTGAAGTATTTTCAAAAGTAAAACCCAGGACTGGGTGCTGTAATGCTTTGTATTTTATTAAAATTTGCTTTTCTTGCTCCTAGAAGCCTCTCTCTGTTAGCGTTTTTTCTGTGCCTTTCTTGTTTCTGGTCTACTCCTTCCAATCTTTTCCTTCTTAATCCTCCTCTGCTGGATTGTTCCAGTGACTGATAAAAATTTTGTTATTAGGAAGTTTTTAAGTGTTTTATTTTGTGTTCCTGGGAGGAAAGAAATTACTTAAATTGAAGAATAAATTACTGATTAATTCTATTACAAGTATTATGGCACTTTTGGTAGATACAGAGATGCACCAGCCAGATCAAAGGACTTGCTGCCTGGCTCTGGGAATGCAGTCTGCAGATAGACTCCAGGTGTCACCTCCTTCAGGGTAGGACTCCACTGCAGGGAAGAGCCTTGTCCAAAAGCATATGCTTTCTGGGGCAGTCCATACCCAGTGACTGAGCAAGGCAGGGGTGTAAAGCTATTTGGGCAATGCGAGACACTCTAATAGGTAATTTTTGCTCCAGAGCCTCCTGCCAAACTGGCCTAGACTTTGTTGGACCTGCATTTGAAGTTGTTGTTTTCATCTGCGCAATCCTGCTTCCTTCTTCTCCCTTTCAAGGTATAGAAGCCTGCTAAACATCTTCCACCTCACACTCTTCAGGTGGCTTTTTAAATAGGAGTATTCACTTCTCAAAAGTTCGTGTTTCACATCCACTAGGTTGAACTATCCATGTCTAGTGACCCTTTCAGTAACCTAAATCTTCTTAAATGGAGGAGAAGATAGTTAAAGTCTATGACTTTTGGAAACTTTGCCAAGTTACCAAGAATTCCTAAGTCCTTACTACAGGCCTCCCTGCCCCCACCATCTTCCTACCATAGCCTTCCCATTTATTTTAATCTGTTTTAACAGTATAACCTACATACAGGAGTAGCAAATGTAAATGCACTCAGCAGCCTTTAGTAAGTTAAAGGAGAGAAATGACAAGAAGCAAGATCACAGGAGTGGCAGAAAATATGGAAAACTGAAGAGCGTTCCATGCCCAAAGATAATCAAATATACCTTTTTCCTTTTTATAACACAAGTACCAAAAAAAGCAAGCCTCCAGAAACTAATCTATGCTGGTTTGTTAGCTCTGGACTACTGCACCTCCTCTCTAGTTTTCATTTAATTCTGCTACCCATAGCTTAGCTGTCCAAGTTTGCCATCTTCATCTCGCAGGACACCTCGCCTGTCCTCTTATTGGTTAGCTGTAGTTTTCTTTCACTGGAGAGCCAGCCCCTTTAGATTTAGGCCTCATTTTTCTTGGCACTAGGACTCAACCATTGAGGTTCTGAAACAAAATAGGGTTGAACAGACTCCCTTTGGCTACCTTGGTCTAACCCTGTCTAACTTGTTCCTCCTGGTTTTCAGAAGAAAATCATGCAAGCCATAAAATGTTTCTCGCCATCTCTATATAGTTCAAATTTTAATTATGGCCATAAGAAATCTGACACTAGAATATATTCTGGAAATCAAAGTTGTAGCTAAATCTGTTTCATGAACTTGAAACCTCATTTGGTTCCAACTATTTAGAAGACCAAGTGGAAATACTTCTTGACCTGCAGACTTCTATCTTTATACATAAATCATGTACAATTTCTACCTGCCTTTCAAAAATATTGAAGGCCTATTAACTAAAGAGTTATTAAGCTGAGGTACTATAAAACTGATTTCATTGTAATGTTTCTTACGTGAGAGAAATGATTAGACATTCAGATTTAGAATCTGAAAAGTTCACAAATAATTTACTTAGTTCAGTTCTCATTTTAGCACTTGAGATGATTAAGGCTCAGAAAAATGACCTAAATCATATACCTAGTCAGTAGCAGAACTTTACTTTCAAAATCTCACAATATAATACAAAAAATCTCCGAAAATGAAGATGTATTTAATAATGGTGGGCAAACCCAACCTGAGCTATAATCATTTGATGACAAACATGACCCAAACAGAAGTTTACACTATTAATGTGAACCTTCATGAGTTTATGTAAAGATATTAATCTGTTTAATTATGGGATGCTGCCTGGACCCCACCAGGGTTTCAAAAATATTGGGCATATGTTCTTTATCCCATTAATAAAAATCTGAAAAACCTAAAATATATCTGGCTCCACATAGTTCATAGAAGGGATTTATGAAACTGCATTAAAACAAACATTTCCTGATTCCCCAACAAGTATACATCATTTAGGCTATTTCAATTTTATGCTTACTAGTGAGAAATTCAAAGTGGCTACTTCAGCCTGCAGTTAAAATGCTTCTGGCTTAGTAACAGCTACTTGAACAGAATTTTTTATGTTAAATAATTTAAGAACAGATCATTTTAAAAATTAGTCCATATTCACATTATGTGACATTTTAGAAATTGTTTATGAATGTTATCAAATGTTAACACTTTTAGATCTCAATTATTGAAAATATTTTAAAATAATATTTTTGTAATAAATTTCTTATAGGAAGAATACTTTGATATATAATGGAATGATAGTGTCACAATAGCTAGAGGGCTGAAAAACTTTTTAGTGTAGTTTTTACCGAGTTGATGGAGAATCTAAAGTTTTGGAAAATAGACAAATGAATGGCTTCATTTTTATCTATTTATGACCAGTCTCTACAGGGAAGATGAGAAATAAGGACTTCCTTAGAGATGTAGAAAAAGAGATCATTTATATAAAAAGGCAACTTTTTTTTAACATTGTTAACATTTTCATTCTTCTCTTTTCTAAGAAAATCTTTTTTAATACACTGAAGAAGGAAAAGGTCAATTATATTTAGGGTTAAGGTTGTACTACATATGGATAGCTTGTAAACTCTAAACTGATTATAAATATGTAGACTAGTCAATCACCCCATGACGGTGAGACTTCTATAATGGGGATTCTGCCAGGCCAAATGATATTAAGAACAATACCAATATGTAGAAATAGTATTGTCTTGGCTATATGGGCTCTTTTTTGGTTCCATATGAATTTTAAAGTAGCTTTTCTTCTAATTCTGTGAAGAATATCAATGGTAGTTTAAAGGGAATAGCATTAAATCTATAAATTACTTTGGGTAGTATGGCCATTTTCATGATACTGATTCCTCCTCTCCATGAGCATCGAAGGTTTTTCCACTTGTTTGTGTCCTTTCTTATTTTCTTGAGCAGTGGTTTGTCATTTTCCTTGAAGAGGTCCTTCACTTCCCTTGTTAGCTGTATTCTTGGTGTTTTGTTCTCTTTATAGCAATCGTGAATGAAAGTTCATTCACGATTTGGCTCTCTGCTTGTCTATTGTTGGTGTACATGAATGCTTGTGATTTTTGCATATGATTTTGTATTCCGAGACTTTGCTGAAGTTGCTTATCAACTCAAGAAGCTTTTGGGCTGAGACAATGGGGTTCTCTAGATACAGGATCATGTCATCTGCACAGAGAGACAGTTTTATTTCCTTTTTTCCTATCTAAATACTCTTTATTTCTTTCTCATGCCTGATTGCCCTGGTCAGAACGTTCAATACTATGTTAAATAGGACTGGTAGGAGAGGGCATCCTTGTCTTGTGCCAGTTTTCAAGTGGAATTCTTCCAGCTTTTGCCCATTCAGTATGATATTGGCTGTGTGTTTCTCATAAATGGCTCTTATTATTTTGAGGTATGTTTCATCAATATCTAGTTGGTTAAGAGTTTTTAATAAGAAGGGATGTTAAATTTTATTGAAGGCCTTTTCTGTGTCTATTGAGATAATAATTTGGTTTTGTCTTTAGTTCTATTTATGGGATGAATTATGTTTATTAATTTGTTGAACCAGCCTTGCATCCTGGGGATGAAGCTGACTTGATTGTGGTGAATAAATTTTTTGATGTGCTGCTGGATTCAGTTTGCCAGTATTTTATTGAGGGTTTTTACATCAATATTCATCAGGCGTACTGGTCTGAGGTTGGCCTGGCAGGCAGCTGGGGGAGGGAGAGTATCAGGATAAATAGTTAATGCATGTGGGGCTTAATACCTAGTTGATAGGTTGATATGTGCACCAAACCACCATGGCAGACATTTACCTATGTAACAAACCTGCATGTCCTGCACATGTATCCTGGCATTTAAAATTAAAATAAATTAAAATTTAAAAAATATATATATGTGTAGAAATATCTTGGATGTAACAAATTATTATAAAAATTAATTTATCAAATAAATGGCCACCATATTGATTATAAAATAAACCATCAGTTTTAGAGGTTCTTGTACTATAATGTAATATTTTGAAACTAAAGCTCTTTTGCTACTGACTAAGTATGTAATCTTGGTCACTTTCATATGAAAGATCCCATAACATTTTAAGTGTTTTAGTTGATGGCCAAAGTCCAGCTTAGGCAGTATTTTTTTCTAACATCCAGAATTTACTTTTAAATTTTAAGCAGAATTTTGCTTATCACTTTCATTATGAGGCATTATGCATTGTAGTTTGTGTTATTGTCCTGGAAAAACTAGTGGGACCAAAAGATGCATAATTAGAACTAAGATAAATGGTTAAACAAAGTGCTCAGTTATATAATAAATATAACCAAATCAAATGTAATGGGAAATATCTCACTCAAAACAAACAAAAAACAAAATACCTAGGAATAAACTTTATAAGAAGCTTGTAGGACATGTACTCTAAAAGAACTACCAAAGTTGATTACAGGAAATAAAAAAAAATTGAACAGAAAGAAACTAGTCTAATTCTGCATACCAAATACTTAACATAGGCAATTTCTGGGTGGTAGGATTACACTTAATTTTGAATTACTGCTTTATGATTGAGCACAATTTCTAAACAAGAAGAAGAAAAACACAGTTTAAAAGTACTAAGCAGAGGCAATATTTATTTTACTATATTCTGGAAAAACACTA